GGGAGTCTATCTTACCACTTTCAGGCTGTGTTGAGCCGGTATAAATTAATCCGTGTTCTTTTTGCAATAACGAGATTATAGTTCTCAAGGATTTCAGTTCTTCAAATACCTCACTTAATTGGCTTTGAAGACAAATACAATTTACGCAGGTTCCAGCACTATTCAACTCAGAAAGCATTCCAAATCGCATGGATTCACCACCTACAACTACCTGTTCCGCCATCTGCCAGAGCCAGGTCGTGTGAGTACGGTGGCTGAGGAAGCACAGTTATGTTCGTGTTGGCAAAAGAGTCATGAATCAATAGCGATGCATGTGCTAATTCATTGTCATGATGGTGGAACCAGGAGTTGTTTCTCCACACCCAAGGTCTTTTTCTCCTGACATTTTCTCTTGGATGTTTCAGCACTTCGAGATAATACCAGAAGTTCACTGTTTTTGCCTGATGTAAGAATTCATGATGCACACCGCCCTCGATGTCAAAAAAACCATCAGTAAGACTTTCACGTTTGACCTGATCCAATTCCCATTTTTCTGTCTTGGCAAATTTTTCCACTCCATTGTGAAGAGTGCATTTTTGTTTCCACAGCGTATCCATAAATCCATGTTTCATCACCGGTTATAATTCTTTTCAAAAAGTCTTCATCCTTGCTACCATTATCAAATAGTTCCTGACAGATGGTAATGCAACTGTCTCTCTGATCCTGTATCAGAAGTTGTGGGCCAAACTTTGAAAGTATCTGCTGCATTTCTAGTTTTGTTGTAAGAAAGTCATGACATGATCCTATCGATGGGTGGCACTCTTCTGCTGTTTCCTGTACTGTGAAACGATTAGAATGCATGATTTCACGAACTTGTCCAACAGTCCAACATGAGCGTTGCCACATAACATTGTGGGCTGTCCCAAATGCGGCTCATCACGTGTTGACTGCCAACCATCATTAAATCACTTAAACCAATCATAACATGTAAGGCTCATGCACTGATCACCATAAACGTTTTCCCTAGTTTGAAGCAAATTTGATGTTAATATGCTGCTCATGAATATCAGCCATCTTGAATGTCACAAGGCACATTCTACAAGTACCTGGACAAATAGCTCTAGGGTGATGACTAATCACAGCAGGATGATGCAGCAAAAAGGATGATAATTAGGAAGCACACCACTAGGCAGCACAGTTTGCCCAACATTGCTAAGATGTCATGTTGGCACACTATTTCAAAAGTTCCAAATCTTTTTGAACAGACCACATATGTATATGTCAGGGATAATTGAGAAAAAGACCAACACAGGATGAAGAAACCTGTGATGGAAGATGAGGCTAAATATTTCATACTTATTTTACTGTGACATTTCTGTCACTGGCATTTAATAAACTCACTGAGAACACTGTGAGTAATGAAATATCTGAGCTTACTGTCAGTTAGTGTCTTTATGGGTTCTTTTTAACTATCTGCTAGACATACATTAAAAGCTTTTTAATACATAAGATTTGAGGTTTTCACGGCGGTGACTATGAAGAAAGCAGCCTTCTGGGATGTGACGCCGTGTAGATATTGTGTTAATTGACGTTTCGGAGGAATGTATCGCCTACATCTTCAGGGTAGAAGAAAAGAGGAGAAAGTCCGTGAGCAAGGAACTAGCATTGTAAACTGGTCACCTTGACCTGCAGATCATGAAGTCTTCCTGTAAGATAAGAAGTTGCCCATTCAATTCTGACTGACTGTTGGCTTCCATAATGTCTTCTCCCTTTCTCTCTGCCTTCAGTTGGTCTATTTCTGAATTCAGCTCTTCAACAACCCGTGCATTCACCATCCTCTCGTCCTTCGTTCTCTGCTCTATGTCCCTCAGTGTCTGCAATTCTTCTCTCAAGGCTGCCAACATCACCTGTTCCTCTCCTCTCAGCTCTTCAGATGCTTGTTTCTCTGCTCGTAACCGTCCGACTTGTGAGCGAAGCCTCATACATTCCTCACATAAGCTTGCTCCTTCTAGTTCCAATGTTTGTAACCTACTAGTGCAGTTTTCACCTTGCAGCTGCTTCTCTCCCTCTATCAGTACCATGAGTTCTCAATGCCTCTTCTGCTCCTCATGCAGACATTCCTCGGCCCGAAACTCAGACTCTCTTAGGTGCTCTTCCAGCATATGGACTTGAGCCTGGAGGGCTGCACTGTCCTGCTTGGCATGGGTGTAGCGGTCATCTGTGTTGTTCTGATTATCGGCCAGTACACTCACTTGCTGCTGAAGCATCTGAACTTTATCGTTCAAATCGATGACATCTTCCAGCAACATGTCCGAGTACATATCATCTGCTGTGTCGCATGTGGAACTGCGCCTGGACGAATTGAAGCTGGAGCTTCAGTACATCTGACTTGCTAAAGCATTGGATCCAAGCCTCTTTCCAATGTATCTAAATGATCCCCAACGCCGGTGCAACAACACCTGGTGCTGCGGGCTGGGCGGTGTCCTCCTCAGGCAAAAGTGACTTCGAGAACTCGTGGTGCAGATGGAGAGAGAGAGAAGCAGCTGCAAGTTGAAAACGGCACTATTAGGTTGAAAACATTGGAACTAGAAGGAGCAAGGTTACGTGAGGAATGTACTAGGCTTCCCTCGCAAGTCAAATGGTTACGAGCAGAGAAACAAGCATCTGAAGAGCTGAGAGGAGAGGAACAGGTGATGTTGGCAGCCTTGAGAGAAGAATCGCAGACACTGCGGGACATAGAGCGGAGAACGAAGGACGAGAGGATGGTGAATGCACAGGTTGTTGAAGAGCTGAATTCAGAAATAGACTGACTGAAGGCAGAACGAAAGGAAGCAGACATTATGAAAGTCCAGTCAGTCAGAACTGAATGGGCAACTTTATGATGATCTTATAGGAAAACTTCATGACCTACAGGTTGAGGTGACCAGTTTATGACGCTGGTTCCTCGCTCACGGATTTTCTTCTACCTTGAAGATGGAGGCAATACATTCCTCTGAAACGTCGGTTAACACAATATCTACATGGCGCCACATCCCAGAGGACTGCTTTCTTCATTTTTAATGTAGCTGTAATATTGTGTGTCACCATGTGTTTGTTTTGAATTGTGGAAGAATTTGAATAGTAAGATATTTTAAGGTTCAGTTTAGAAATTGTATTACTCCTGTTCCAGTGCTTGTTTTGGGAGACTGCATGCTCCTTGTGAGAATAGCTGTAAACCAATCAAACATGAAAAAATTGGAAATAAGTTTTTATATATGTGCTCTAAGAGTGTCATCTGCATAACGAGATGCACATCTTAAAAATAACTACAGCAAACTAGTCTTAATTTGAAGAAAGCAGTCTTCTGGGATTTGGCACCATGTATATGTGGTGTTAACCGACATTTCGGAGGAACGTATCGCCTCCATCTTCAGGGTAGAAGGATAAATATAAGAAATCCGCAGGCGAAGAAACTATGAGAACCGGTGAAAACCTCAAATCTTACATAGTCTTAATTTCTTCGTGTGCTAGTGGTAGCAGAAATTGATGTGAACTTTTTCAGATGTATGGATTCTGTCAAAATTGGTACAATGCATTCCATATGAAAACTATAGGAGGGAACTCATTTAGCATATTACAGAATTCATAAGTCTGATATTGTGAAGCTTTATCATATATGCGTGTTAATAAATTGGTATATTTTCACAGTGAAATTCTATTCATTGCTCACAAAGCCCTGTCATAAGAGCTGTATTTCCAAGATTGAGGGTGGAAACCATCGTCAAGCTAGAAGTCTCATTAAACAACAAATATCCAGTGTGTTAAGTCCTTACTTTACATTCTCAGCTATTTCATTTTGAACTAAGTTAAGGAAAGTGTAATGTGAAAAATATGTATAAAGACAGGGTTTGTATTCAAATAAACATGAAATTCTTGCTTTTATAATATTTTAAAACTAGCAGTGACAGTTACTTCAGTATTTCTACTCGTATATTGTGATTTTGTTACAGAAGCTTGTTTCATAATTGTACTGAAGTCATTTTCATTGCAATATGAAATGATGTACTGCATTTTTGTAAAATTATGTTTCAAATTGCTCTCTCTCTCTATCTACAATCTTTATTCCTTCCTTCTCTTAGTCTTTTGAACACTTATGGTTTCTCAAGTTTAATTGAAATTGTAGCATAGTAACTAGGCATGTGTAAGTCTCACATTCTTTTAGATCGAATCAAGAAATAAAATTATTGATCTCAATTCAGATGTTAGTTTTTCATTCTCAGACTTCAAGATTTTTCTGGTAGTTACCTTTGCTTTGCAAAGAGGGGCTGGTATCACATTTGACCAAATGGAAGACAAACCCCTCCCCCAGGGGTTACACAACTGTGGGTCACCATTATGAATTTGATTGATACATACAAATAAAATATTTTCAACCTGTTGTATGTTTTTAGAATGTTCATATCATAGATTGCACCAAGGACCAGTAGTTCATACTATCGCAGTATGTGAGAGTAGCTTGTGAAGAAGTGAGAGAGAAATGTATTTTTTAAGTCCTGTTCAGGATGGTGTTTACACATGTTACAGAGGAGTAGGTTTTCTTTCTAGCCCATACCTTCACTTTGCACTTTGATGCATTTTCAATGAAATGTTAGTGTATTTCAATATACAGTGCAGTTGCATCATTGATGTTGCAGGTACAAAATCCATTGTCATAAAAACATTTGGCAATGAAAAGATGCTTGTGACTGTAATTTTGATGGTTTGGCAGACAGTATGAAACTGCAACCATGTGTTATGGCAGAAAGGTAAAACTATCCCTGTAACAGGCCATGGAGGCCAATAAGATTGTGAGACATTGAGGCTCCAACATATTCTAGACAGTCGGCTTAGAGATGTAGGTGAGGTTGTGAGTTCTGTATTTCAGCATCCCGTTGCAATTGTTTAACTTAAGGTCCATTATTTATCGTCCGTCAATATTGCAACACTCTACCATTCACCACTCAATTTTAGTTTAACATTATACACCTTGACACTACATGTTTTGGCCCCAAACAGCCATCTTCAGGTGCCTTGATATGTTACAATTATTTTATTAAATTGTGTTAAAACTACTACACTGTCTTAGTTCATGTTAAAATCACATGCTGTAGTCCTCTTTTCAGGTAACACCAGATAAAATCCTTTAAAGTTTCTATTATACCCACGTTATTTTGTTGCATATTATTTCACCTCACACGGGATGTCCATTTTCATAAATGTATGTTTGTCCACGCTGTGGAGGAAACACACAAGCCAGGGGCATATGACAGTCATAACTGAAAAGTAGGTTACGAACGTGAGGGGCAAGCTGCCAAGACAAAACACCCTGGACAAACATACATTTAGAAGAATGGACCACACCCCATGTGAGGTGAAATAATATGCACCAAAATAACGTGGGTATAATAGAAACTTTAAAGGATTTTATTTGGTTTAACATGAACTAACATTTTAACATGAACTAAGACAGTGTAGCAGTTTTAACACAATTTAATAAAATAATTGTAACCTAAAGATCGCCGTTTGGGGCCGAAACATGTAGTGTCAAGGTGTATAATATTAAACTAAAAAATTCAGTGGTGAATGGAAAAGAGTGGCAATATTGATGGACAATAAATAATGGATGAGGTTGTGAGCCTTACTCGTACATGCCAGCTGCCCTTTGCCTCCCAGTAAGATTCCTGGTACTGATCAACTACAGGATGGATGACTAAATGAACTTATGGGGGACTTATTTGGTGGTTGTCTAGAACAGGGGACCAAGAGTATTGTTGGGAAAACAAGAAATGCTTGTGTTGCGTTTGAAGGTCGTATAACATTGGATGCCAGATCTGTGATTCATGTAATGAGTGCTGGCCTTGTGGTTCTATATGAAGGAATGGCTTCATAATCTATATTTTAGTGAATAATCCTTTTAATGATCATTTGAAACAGTTGTATTCTGAATAGATCTTGGAAGGGCATTATGTTCTAACACCACAAGGGACAATGAAGAATCCCAGTGTAAAACCACTGTGCCAATGGGTCAATAACATAGCAACAGATCTCTCTAGAAGTTACTATCAGAGGACTTGAGAAGTGTTCTATATCTGAGATGGAAGATGAGGTAGAAGCTGGGAATGTTGGTGGTGAACATGGATGTGTGAGCAATATGAGACAGAAAATGGGAATTTTAAAATGCTGAAGCCATTACAGGCTTTAGAAATGGTGAACAGTCTGGTGATTTGTAATAAAGGCTTGTGGCTTCAAGAAGGAAAATGACTTAATAAACTTCATGTACTCATATAACATACTTTCTAGTATTTATTTCCTTTCACATGTTTGTAGTTAAGATCGTGAAATTCATTCATAAAAGTACTTTTTCTATGTAGACATGTTTCCTAGTGTGAGGTCATCTTGCATTCTTACAGTCGTACAAATATGGCAGTACACTTTAAGTCACTGTCAAAAAGTAGCTGGTGCTACAAATTATTACGATAAAATTTGGTATACTGGAGAAACTTCTCGTTCTTGTCTTAGTTCTCAAGATTTCTTTTTTCTTTTTCTTTTCAAATTCTCATCTAGAACTGAAGAAGTTGTTCTTGCACTTGCCTAGTAATAACTATGTTTTAATTTGTGTGGACAGTCTTGAAGGTGCAACTTCTTGCCATGCTTGTAGACTGCTGGTATGTTACATGTCACTCTTTTATAAATGTCACTTCAGTATATTTTGACCTTATATTAATAACTGTCAAGTAGATTCTTTTTACATGATTGCTTCACTGTACTGCTTTTTTTAGTTCACTATGTGTTGATTCAGTATGAATAGTCATTTCTATTTTCTGTACATAACAGTGTATAAAAACTTATATAAAAAGTTACAGTTGTCAGGTTACATGCTTTCACATTTTATCATCATCATCATCATTAATCAGATTGTGTTTTCAGTAGGTGGCTTCATCAATTGGTTATGTTGAATTTACTGTATATTAATGTTTATTGTAATGTTTTAAAAACATCAGTGAAATAAAATAAAATATGTTGATTATGTATGTTATAGTTCAGTCTATTGAATCTTTCTGGTAGATTAAAACTTTATAGCTATCATATTTGTGGAGCAGTTAGCATGCATCAGAGAATCGGAAAGATGTTGCTGTGTTGATACGTCTATTTTAATGAATGATGGTGTTCTGTAAAGAATAACATTAGTTACATTATTGCAGCATATGTGTTTTAATTAAATGTAATCATTAATTTGTGCCATGAGCTCTTACAGGTATGATTTAAATCTGGTGCAGTAAAGGTCAATACAGGCCATGCTTCTAGGCCTGGCTTCTGGAAAGCACATGAGGAGAACTATGGCAACAAGTAACAGGACAGTAGTTACAGCTACATTGCCAGAGAGTCCCTGGGTAATGCATTCACATCCTACAGTCCTTAGGGAACACAAGTAAATCCATTTTATGTTCTAATGAAAATGACCATGTCTGTAAGTGTGGACAGTAAGATGGAACAAAACAACATCTACATGGGGGGAGGGGGAATGGAATGTATGGTGGTAATCTCGAAATAATAGATATTAATGAAATTTAGAAAGTTCTGTCTGTATCTGAAGGCCAACTCATCCACCAACTCATCCACCAAGCATTATCAGATTTCAGTGAAAGAAATTTATCCCTATTTGCTGTTTTAGTTGTGAACTAACAAGCATTGTGATGCCTTGTTTTCAGTTCAGTAGTTTTGTTGGCAACCTTTACCAAAAACATTTCCTCTAGATAGCAATGTCATCTAGTGCATATTGTTATTCTATCAAGATTAGTATTTTAGCATAAATGCAGCTGTCTTTCCAGGACTTTTCAAGTAACTGAAGCGAGGATTTTTGATGAAGTTGCTTTTAACATTTCAACAGGCTTTATGCTGGTAACAATACAACAGCACATAATCCGTGAACATTTAAAACTGAACAGGTTGCTAATACTCTTAGACTGTATTCAGGAGGTGCTCAGTTTGAATTTGCTGGGAAACTGGCTACCCTAACAGATATTCATGTTTTTCCGAAGTCCCTCCAGTTAAATGCCAGGATACTGCCTATATTAGGCCATAACCACCTTCCAGATCCTTTCCAATTCATCTCATCCAGTGCTATGTACATATGTAGATACTGATAGTGCTGTTAATTATTCCACAAAACATTAAATTTTTAAGAATTTTTTAATATAATATAGCTAAAATTATTATTTTAGAATGTCCTTGATAAAAAATATAAATCTGTAATGAGGGATTTTGTTCAGGGTCGAATGTGACAGTGGCTTTTCCAGGACCTATGTGTGTTGTCTTGACAATTTGTGCTCTCTGTGTGAGGCCTGATTATATACTTTATTGGACCAAGGACATATGATGTGTAGTCATCATGAATTTTTAATGTGTGTAAAGTAAAGTAAAAGTAAAGCTATCCCTGTAACAGGCCATGAAGGCCCATAGGGTTGTGAGACATTGAGGGTCTCACATTATCTAGACAATCTGCTCAAAGATGGCGGTAAGGTTGTCAGCCTTACACGCCGGCAGCGCTTTACTCCCCAGAAAAATTATTTATTTAATTCCTGGTACTCATTTCTGTTAGAGGCTGAGTGAACCCCAGGGCCATAGTGCCATGTTTTATATCCAGTCCTACTGGGAAGTGATTGGATCCATGAAGTGAAAATAAATGGAAACGGAAATGATGTAATAAAAACCATGAAGTATAACGTAGTACCTAAGAACGTGCCAGTACCAACCCAGACATAGAATCCATCATAAACACAGCACACTGCTCACTGTAGCAAGGAATGGACAAAGAATGAAGCAATAATGTAATATCAGTCATATTCTGCACAAAATCTACATGGAAAAAGATACACCAATAGAAGCCAGAATATTTATAATTATATACTAAATCAACAATTTCTACACAATCAAAGAACTCTTCACTGTCAATTATAAAGATATTTAAATGTAAGTATTACTGCTAGAAATTGATGTATGCCAAGCAGTCTCCTTTTTAACATATAAGCATCTGACGATGTCCCTATAAGGCATAGTTCATCCAGTTTTTAACTACTACATATTATACTCGATTTTTATTACTTCATTAACAATACAAAAGTATAGTGGCATAAACTTTATACATCATTAATCTAGAATAAAGAAAACAAAAACCAACACCATGAACATCTATGAATGGAACATAATATAATAGCCCGAAATATTACATAGAGCAAACTTGCAGGATATAGAGACGGACAGCCCACTGGGAGATGAGAGATGGAGAATAGGCCTGAGGCTCACTTTGCAGCAATTTCTCTGATTCTCTGATGCAGATTTACTAAACTACAAATATAATACCTGTGAAGATATAACATACCAACAAGAACCAATGCATTTTACTTACATATGGAATATATTTTATCCAGTTTTATGATAACATCTTAAAATATTAAATTAAACACTAATATGTAATAATCAGTGTAATCAACTGATGGACCCACCAGTAAAAAACAACCTGATTAACTTGTTTAAAAACTGACAGTCACATTTTATTCAGATGATACAGATCTCATATCAGTAGCTGTAACAGTTTTTATACCATGATGTGTGCAGACTTTTTTTTTTGTTTCTCAAGTTCCCACATATCTTACTCTACAGATGCTGTCTTTGTCGGCATTAACAAGAAAATTTTGATGTGATATAACTGTAATTTTGCCAAAGGGATAGTCTCTTATGTTACTGCAGCATGCTGAAGGATATAGTGTATAATGCATTGTATCATTTTACTAAAAATTGATTCAGTATTTTGAATGAATGGTGCAGACGGTTAAGTTTATATTACACTTCATTCAATATGTAATACTAGAATATGAGATTGTGATGCATATCATTTATTTTTTTTTATTGCTAAT